ACACCGAAACTGGTGTCCTCTGGGCACAGGCTCACGGTAATAGTGACTGTGCCTTACAAACCGTGAGGAGGCAGGTGTTGCAGCAGCACGGGGTGCAGGCTGATTGTGCACACAGGGCCTGGGACTGGAGGGAGCAGGGAGCAGAGCTTCTTGCTGTACCACGGGTTGCTGGCACAGCCACCCTTCCCCAGCGAGGGGTCCGCGAGCCGTGGGTGCCCCCTCCAGCCCCGGGCAGGTGCTCAGTGCCTTGCGGCGTGGTGCCAGCACGGGCACAGCTTCTCGTGTGGGTGAGTGATGGGGACGGGGAGGAAGGCACACGCCACACCACACTGCGTACTGGTCTGGGGGCGAAGGTCTCGCTGCAAAGACACAAAACCAGGGATGGTGGGAAGAGTAACAGGGGAAGGAGGAGGCAGCCTTGTGACTGGTAAATGGTGAAAAGAAAACTACCAAGAGCTTACAACTATGTAAAAACCCACCATGCTCTGCCATGGGGCCAGGGCTGGGGTGGGCACTGGAGAGGAGGTGCCATGGGGCACAACTGCCTGCCTTGCAGGGCCGGGGCTGGGAGGTGCCAGGCATCCTCTGCGCCTCTGGCCTGGGGCTGCACTCCAGCAGAGTGGACTGTGTAGTACACGAGCTGCCTGGGTCCCTGCGAGCTAAAAGCTGCTGCTGCCGTCTTGTCTGGCCAAGGCCTGCCACAGCTGGGCTCCCAGCAACTCCAGTGTGCTGCATCCCCTTCCCCTGGGGAAACAAGACATGTAGCTCATTGCAGGCAAATGCCAGGAAAATGAGGAGAGGATATTTGACTCTTGGAGATAAAAGCCTCATGCTGAAAGGTGTGCCAAAACCCCTGCTTTGCCTACGCCACGGAGCAGGGCGAGTCCTGTGTATTTGCAATGGCAAACCTGCTCGTGTTTGTTTGCAGGCAAGCTGTGAATGTCTCAAAAACTCAGTGCATTGTACACTCAGCATTGTAGGATACGCAAAAATGTTTTGGAGTACAACATTTTGTGAGTAAAGGCACATATCAGTGAAAGTTTCAGAATGGAAATGAGCCATTGAGGGGAGACAGGGATGGCACTGGATATGTCAAATGGGAGAAGAGGCGCAAAAGATGGTCCTTCAACCCTGCCCATGCAGGTAGCTATGTCGGTAGCCAATGCCACTTTCCTCCTAGAGAGTGGAAGAAAAAAAAGGAGCTCGGAGAGGTGAGATGCAAGTGCATTGTGTGTGTGTGGATGCAGTCTGATGGTACAACAAAGGTGATGTTAAGAGCAAGCACCCAGGGAAGAGCTGGTCCCGTCCCCTCCCACCCTCCTACCCCCTTCCTGGTGATGGCCTGCCTGCACCCAGGCAAGGCTGGGTGCTGGGGCACCAGGCTGGCAGCATTCCCATTTCCCAGTGTGGGATGCGGTGTTTTCCACTCCTTTTGCTCGCCGAGACAGCTCCCTTTGGTGGCAGGCAAGGAGCAGCCCTGGCACAGGGCAGCAGGCGAGCTCGCCGGGCAGCACCGGCAAACTCCCCATTGGCCAGGCTGTGCCATCGCCACCCTGCTGTGGCACCAGCACTGATTTCAAGAGAGGTTGAGTGCTTAAACGTCTTTGAAGATCTGAGCCTGCGAGTGCTGATTCACCCATGCTGCTGACTCAGGCTGCGCCTATTTAAAAGCTGCCGTCCCTCCGCACCTCTGCCTCCCCTCAGCTCCAGGTCCAGCAGCAGCTCAGCAGCACCCACAGGGTATTTGCTCCGGTCCCTGCAGCTCACAGTGAGATACCACCATTGGTTTCAGAGCACTTTAATGTCTGGGGCAATGAATGGCAGCAGCCAAGGGCTGTTAGCTTGTCCAAACTGGCGATATCACCAAAGGACAGTTCCCCTGTCCCTCTCCGCCCCTGACCTTCCTGCATGATTCCTACAGCTCACATGTTGCCCCCACAAGAAAAAATTACCCTGTTTTCAGCCAGACCGGGTGCTGGCTGACTGCACGGGCCCCGCCGCAAGCCTGGGGAAGGCAGTGAGATGGAGAAGGGAGGTCCACCCTTCTTAAGGGCAGTGCAGATTTGGGCAGCTATCTGGCATTATTTCCCCTCAGCCCTGTTTTCACGGCTGCCCAGCTATGATAGCCAGTGTTTTCTCACACAGCCTCGGCCCTGCTCTCCTCTCCCATCATAAGCTGCACTGACCGGGCACCTCTCCATCTCCACTCTCACAGCGCCAGCCAGACGATAAGCCTGATCAAATTGTGTATCTGCAGGGAAACAGGTTATCAGGCAGCTTCTTGGCTAGTACAAAACCAAAAACAGCAGAGCCACAGTCGCTCACACCACACTGAAGCCAACCTTCACCTCCGAAGGGAGGGACCGTGAGCTTTTCTGCAAAGCACAGCTGCAGTTTTCTCTTTCACCAGCTGCCTGGATTGTGCTGAAACTACAGACTCCTTTAGACGCATGGAAATTAAAATGCTAAGGAAATGGGGACAGGTACTGGGCCATCCTGCCTAAGGGTGCCGTACCAGCACCAGCAGGTAGCCCGGAGCTGGCCCCGGCCTCAGGGCTGAGGTCCTACCTCCGCACAGCTGCGTGGGTGCCAGCTAGGCAGGGTGTCCCCAGCTGCTCTCCTCTCCCATCCCATCCCATCCCTCCCCTCCCTCCTCATCTTGCTCATATGCAGGTGATTTCCATCCAATATCCATCAGAAGGAGCCAGGTGTATTTAAGCTGCAGGGCTGGCAGCCTTGTGAGAGGAGTGAGAAGTGGTCTTGAAGGAGATCTGATGGCTCTTTCTTCTTTCTGCCTTAGCAGCCTGCTTTTCTAGGAGGTAAAGGAGCAGGTCTTGTTTGGCTTTATACCTCCTGAAGTATTTCTCTTTTGTTGTTTAGGGATGAGAGTGTGTTAGAGGATGTGACCTTTCTGTCCTGATGCATCTGTGGGGTGTGTGTTAAGCCTGTATGGCACTGGGATTACTGGTGGCAGAGATGTGGACTCTTTCTGGGACTGTACATGTGAGGTACCTGCTGGGCTGTGTTCCGCTATTGAAGCTTGCTAGTCAGGAAAGTGTTTTCTCCATTAAACATTTTTCCTTTGTTTCTATTTCCTTTGGGGGGGGTGTTCTTTTTTTCCTGGCTCCCACAAAATTAGACTTGTCTGAGATCTCAGTAATCTGTTATCTCTAGCTATGCTCAACAGAGAGCAAATCTCTTTCAAACCTCAACAGGTCATGAAGGCAAGACTTAATTTTCTTTGTGCAATACACTTTGCACCTCACCTCTGCTTCTTGTTTATTCCTGATGTGCCCCCCTCTGAAAACCCCTCCTTTACACAGGCACCAGCTTCTTCAGCCTTGCAAGAGCTCCCTCTATGATATTTCATTCTCTGGTCCCTGTATATTGAAGAATCTTTTGCTTTCAAAATAGTTTAAGGTACTGCCAGGCTGAACAAACTGACTTCTAGATAAATTTTTGGATGAATGTTGACAGACTGTGAAAAGCTTGCTGTACTGCAAGGGAGTCTTTTTTTGAGTAGAAAAAAAAATGCTTTTTCTTGACAAATGGTTGTTGCTATTTTTTGTTGATTGTTTTAACTATCACCATGCCCATGGGAACCCAGTGTCAGTGAAATCTGTAGTGCCTATATTGATCCTAAACTGTGCCAGTAAGGGCTCTTACATCTTAGTGAAAACATCCTGAACCCAGTTATTTTGCCTTAAGGCCGAATGGTGGCTGTCTTTAAACTGACAGGCAGATCCACTCTTTGCAAAATGAGCCTGATTTTTAACTCGAACACAAGCTATCGCCCAGGTTTCCATCATTATGACAAGTCATTTTGCGAAGAGCACTTGAATAAGATTCAGGGAGGTAGTGGTTGCTGCTCAGATGTTTAATGAACTTTTAACTCTTATGAAGGCAATTTGAACAAGCAGTGGCTGTATAGCTATTGCAGGTACCTGGGCAGCGTGTGAGCCCCTGCACCTTTCTTGGGCTGCCATCGGAGCTGGGGCAGCTGCAGCCTTAGCTTCAGCTGCTCCCTGGCAGCCACCCGGGCCTTGCTGGTTTGGGCATGGCTTTATCCAACACAGTTTTTATAGAGTTTGGTAAGTGGGAAGCTCCTAATGTCTTATTTCAGCTTTTTGCTGTGAAACAGAGTTCAGGGTGGATTTCTTCTCGCCCTCGAAGTAAGTGTGTTGGTGACAGCTGTAATCAACACAGAGGCGCTTATACTGTTGATGAACAAAACCAGCTGCTGGAAAAAAGGGGAAATATGTTATTTTGTTCCTAGAAACTTGCATATAGCTTTATAAAGTGATGCTGTATCTTAGTCCTGCCAGGACTTCATTTCAGCCTGTATGGGACCCGTACCTTCAGTCACAAGGGTGAAAGAAACATCAGTGCTTACCAGTTTGGTCTGGGTTGATGGTCACTCGAAGCAGTGTCTGTGTAAACAGACATCCTTCCGTAAGGTTTGGAAGTTTCCTGTTTAACTTTTTAGCACTACAACTCCCTTAAGGTTTGTTCTGGGCTTTCAGAAGTAACTGGCAGCTCATTAACAGCTTTTTATTAGCACTGAAAGCCATGGGAGGGAAGCTGCTCTGGTCATCTGGAGGCCTTGTCTTTGCTGGGCAAAAGGTGTTTGTTGCCAGATATTAGCTCATGTACTGCAACACAGGGTGCAGTCCTAGGTGTTTTCACTTCACAAAGAAAAATGTGTTATAACATCTTCTGTAGATGAGATGGTGAAGTATCAGATCATTTCAATTACACCATGCTGGCAGGCTGAGGGTGAGAGGAGGGGAGAAGTCTTGCTCCTCTTGACCTCCAAAGGGACAACCCTCTGCCTTTTTTCCTATCACAAATGCAAGCTGATAGCAAGCACTTCAAATCAAAGTCACAATTTGGCCAGCTTATCAAAACAACTATAAAGCCTAAAGGAAAATATGCATGTGTGGGCTGATTGATATATTACGTGGCTGGCAGTAAAAGGGCCCCGTTTGTGCCATTTGCAGGCATGGCGGAAGCGGTGGTTCGTGCTGCGCAGAGGCCGCATGAGCGGGAACCCCGATGTGCTGGAGTACTACAGGAACAACCATTCCAAAAAGCCCATTCGGATCATCGACCTCAACGAGTGCGAAGTGCTGAAGCACTCGGGGCCCAACTTCATTAAGAAGGAATTTCAGAACAACTTCGTCTTCATTGTGAGGACCACCTACCGCACCTTCTACCTGGTAGCCAAAACTGAGGAGGAGATGCAGATCTGGGTGCACAACATCAGCCAGATCTGTAACTTTGGACATCTAGAAGATGGCACAGGTAGGATCATGCTTATGCTCGTCTTGGGGGCTGGGAGGATGATCTGTGTCTGGGCTCCTCCACAGCTGCACGTGGGGTGAGAGGAAGCATGGACCTTACTGGCGGGCTGGGCTGGGCGGGTGGTGTGGGACTCTGTTTCCTGCAGCTCTGCACAGGACTGAGATGCTGCTAAACCCTGGTTTGAAAGTTATCAGGGATCTCACTTCTGCTGGGTAGAAATAATAGCTGGCCGCTTGGTCTCACTCTGAAGCAATTCCTGCTAGAATAAACAGCAGGTCCTTAATAAGAAAAGGTACTGTTTATGTGAAAAGCTGACTGACTGTTATCTTCTGGGGCCATTTATTTCATTACATGTCCCATATTTATTTAGTTTGGCTTAATGTAAGACACCTGTTCTAGGAAAGCGTCCTGCAAAACTCGCATTTTCTCAGGCTTTGCTGGATGTGGAATGTGCACAGACCTGGGTGTATATGCACATACATAAATCAATGACAAAAATACTGAGCTGTCTTAGTCTATTAATGAGAAGAAAAATAAAGAAAAGGCAGAAGACAGGAGAGTGTTAGAAGTGTGTGTCTAGACTTAAGAGATGGTCCTGCCAATGAAGCATAAAGTTGGCCTGTTTTGCCAGGACCTACACCTGTATATACTCAGTAGGGTGAATATCTTGGAAAGCTTCCAAGAATTAACCACTCCAAGATGGATGTAGCCAGTAATTAAAGTCGGGACCTGTATCATCATTAACTTACCTTTCAAATGAGACAATCGGGCACAGATAACAGCAATCTGTCTTTCCCTTGACATTTCCAAGGGGCAGATAGAGCAGCAATTTGAGAGCTTCATAGGAAGTGAGTCAGAATGAAGTCCTTTGCTGTGATAAAAGGTAGTGCAGGAGCAGAAGATGGTGGTGATGGAGGGACTCGATCCCAAGGGCAGTAATATATTTGGGGGTATCATAGTGTGGCTGGGCAGATTATCCTGCCGTGGTCCCTGTGCTGTTGTGCTTGGACTGCTACTGGTGTCTGCAACTGCCATGTAGCCATACCATCACCTTGTAACTTAAAAGAAAACAAAAGACTCTGGTGGGATGTTTTCTTTTAATCTGTCATGGTTCCTGGCCTTCTTTAATCTCCTCTTCAGTAGTTTATTCTGAGGGGAAATGGGAGTGGAAAGAGCACTGCAGCAGTCCTGTTAAATGTGATGTCTGCTCTCTTCCCATTCACTTTAGAGACCACCAGGAAAATATGCTGACACATCTCTATATGCCAGTACAAGCTGCCCATGAATGCAACTTGCAAACTGGAGCTGGTAGCTTTGAGGGATTGGAGTCAATAGCCCTTTGGAGCTTGGCTGTAATTAGGGATATTCAGTAACCTCCTTCCTTCTGCCCTTGTTGACACTGAGATGTTGGTCCTGCATTGCTACTTCTGGTGCAATATTATTTTAGATATAATTTTACCAATTACTCTGAATTGAAGGTAAATCTTTCCATGCAAAACAGAAAAGAGAAAAATATTTTTTCTCTCAAATGTGTATGCAGACTTCTGGCACCATGTTGAGGATGTGCATAGGGAGATGTGATCTGTGACAGAGGAGCTAAGGCAGCGGCTGTCCCCAGGATAGATGCATTTATACTGGGAAACGTGTGTTGCGTTACGCTGGTACAGCACAGCATTGCTTGTAAGAGTTACACATGGGCAATACTCGGAGTATTACACAGTGGTATTTCTCTCCCAGCAAAGATTGCTGGTGTAGACACTGACGGACGAGACATGACAACTCTTGGTGCGGCAGTTGGGAAAGCTGATATCCCAGCTTTCCGCTCTGTTCAAGGTGGATATTATCCCCCAAGAACTTCAACAGTGTAGAGCATTTGCCTTGGTTCAGCATAAAGTCTGGCACCTGAACTTACAGCCCTCATCACAGACTGCCTAAGCGAAGCTTTCAGACATGCACTTACTGTATCTCTAATGGCTAATAGCTCGTAAGATCTTCTATTTATCCTGCAGCTTATCCTGGTGAGGTCAGGTCTGGGGTGTATTCAGGTCAGGCTGCAGGGCGTGTTCAGATCCTCTGATTTAAATCTGCAGAGTTCCACAGGTTGCACATCATATTTCAAATGGTTGCTAATTGCTTCAGCTTTTTAGAAGCACCTAAATCCCCCAAGAGCCTGTAGGTTTAAACAAATTACCCTTAAAAATTAACATAAGAAAAGAAAAGCTCTATTAAATGCCATATGCTTTTTTAACTTGAATGCTACTGTGTTAAAAAAAATAATAGTCCCTGAAATGAATCATCAAAAGAAAGACACATCAATTGCAGGAAATTTTAATAAGCTGTTCCATGTATTAAAATGAATCTTAAAGCCAATATTATATTGTGAAATCAATCACTCTTAATCCTTGCATCTCTGAAAATTTGCTGTGACTTTGAAGCCAAAACCAAATCTGCTGCTTTCTCCACTTAATGCACAGAAAGTGCAGCCACAGGTTTATGCAGTGACTCAGCTGTCCTGTTGTTCCCAGTATCAAAGAGGCTGGACAAACAGCCAGGTCCTACTCATCAGAGGCCTCCGGTCTGACAGGCAAGCAGCCAGATGCAGACTGAAGTTAGCAAAACCACGGCTGGCCCTGTGAGGACAGCTTTTTAGTCAACAAGAGAGGGGACAGCTGAGAGACGGAGGCGAAATGCAAGCTCCAGGCAGATGTCAGGAAGCACCTGGGAGGGTGGCTGTCGGGAAGGACTTGCCAGCAGCAATCATCGTGCTGCAGCACTCGGCTGCCACAAGAAACCGTGCCGCTGGCTCTGCTGAAAATGACAGGGGAGCTGGCACCTTCAGTGGAGTCAGCTGGAGGAGAGGCCTCCCACCCTATTTTCCTACCATTTCTATGTAAAATCTTGCTTCCACCTCTGGTGAAAGCTCCTGATAGAGCAGTTGCTCCCCAACCTCACAGGACTCGTGGCCACGTAGAGGACTGAGAGGATGCTTGGGCCAAGTAGCTGGGCAGGGGAAGGGATGAAATGAGGTGGCTATGGGACATCATGGGCACACTTTATCCCATATGCAAGCTGAAACCATGATTAATTGACACAATGCAATATAGCAGCTTTTCATTGGAGAAACTACTGTGAAAGTTGTTTTGCCTTTTTCATTAGGAAGCCTTGCTTTTAAAGATTGTAGCTGTGCATTGAATGCTACCCTAGGCCATGCCCTGGCAGGCAGCTCCTCAGCCCAAGAGGGACCTTTCGTCTTGGGTTCCCTCTTTGCTTCTTCCACAGGCTCCAGGTGTTGTTCCACATCCCATGGAAATGCCTTGCTCCTTCTGGATGCAGCCCCTCCCTGAAGGTCCCTGCTGATTTCCATCGCTCCCCGGTTGCTCTACTCTCTCCCACAGCACCCAGAGCCACAGTAGAGCCTGATGTCCCTGGGCAGGCCCCCTCACTGGTGCCCTCCCTGCACAGCACAGGGACCAGGATGCTGGCAGAGTCATGCTAAGTGACAGGTTACCCTTGGGGCCCTCTTGGCTGCTTGCAGTTGGATTAGAGCATTTCTGCTCCTCCACCTCTCCCTCGCCTCTGGTTGCTCTGTTGTTCGCACCCATCCTTGCCCATTGCTGGGATCTTCTCCCTTTCTGCCTGTTCCTCTGATGGTTTCTTTGCCTCCTTAAATGTCTCTCCTTTTTTTTTTTTTCTTTTGCCAATGTGCACAGACCCTGCCCCCCATGGCATGGGGATGGTTTGATTCCCCAGGACCTTGCTGCAGCCATACTGGGGAGCATCTTCCCCAGCCAGGACAGCATGCTGGGAGCAAGGGGGGCCAGGACCACTGCACTGAGGGGCTACCTGGAGGGACTGTGCTCTCCTCGCAGAGACACTTTTCTCCTGAGAGTCTTCATTTCCCTCTCTGTTCCCATACAAAGCAGGGCAGGCAGTGTCCTGGCATATTTCCTCACTGCAGCTCCTGGCCCTTGCACAGGAGCTCAGGGGAGGTGTGACAGCTCCTCCCAGCCCATGCTGGAGGACAGGCACTGGGGCTACTCCCTCCATATTCCTCTCTCAGTGGGAGGAAATCCCTTCTCAGCTGCACAGACTCAAGGCTGCTCTTTAATGTCAGGCGCTGGCCCCTGGCCAGAAGCAGTGGGTGGCATTTCTACCTCCTTGGTATGGCCATGCAGCCTGGCGGGGGGTTGCTGTGAGCAGGACCCCCCTATTTCACTATGTCCTTGCACTGCTGTTGCACCATAACAATTTTTGGGCAGTGGGCTGGGGTCTGTAGGAGGAGGGAGAAGCCCTCTGTTCCTCCAAGGAATGGTTCTGCATTGATGGGGAAAGTCACTGCAGAGGATGCTCCTCGTCATCCATGGCGACTTTCCCTGTCAATGCAGGGCGGAGATTTTTTGTGTTAGTACCCACTGAAGCAGTTAGTTTGGCAGCTGAAGCCTCTGTCTCTCTGGCAAAGGGGAGGGCAGGCACCAAACCTATTCTCTGCCTTCTCACTGTTGAAAGTGGCCATGCATAATTTATTGTCCCCAGCTGCTGCTGTGGTACAACTTTAATGCACGCTGATTTGGTTACCAGCAGAGCTGGCAGGGACAGGGACGGTCTGTTAGGAGCTGGCTGCAGGTCCCTGAGCCCCTGAAGGTTAGAAAAGAGCAGGTCTGCGCTGTCCCTGTCCCTCCCTCCTGCTCACAACGGTTGCCATGTGGTCTGCAGCTCGCAGCCTTTCCTGATGGGATAATCCGTGGCTAAACCCTGTGAGTACCAGATGGAGTTCAGGCCTGTTCGTTCTCTGCATTAATAATCCAGAATGTCATTAATTTCTTTCTTATGCATTGTGGCAGTTTTTAGTTGTTTTTTTTTTAAATGTGGTCAGATGGTGATGTGAACGTGCTTTTCTAAGATCCCTATGGAGTTAGCCCGGTGCATATTTGATCATCCTCAGCTTGCAAGACAGCTCTCTGAGTCCAAGATTTGAAAGCAGAGTTACCGTCTGAGCCAGCGCAATGAACAAGAGAAAAGTTATTTTTCAGATGGGAAGGCTGCAGCCCTCAGCTCTGCTTTGCAAATGTGAAACCTCGTAAATGCCATTCCTTCCAGATGCTTGCTGCTGAAATCCCGCTGCTCTAAGCACCTGCTGAAAATTAAGCAAATGCTTTGCTTAAGCTCGAATTTAAGCATGTGCTTATGTGCTTTGGTGACCTGGGGTCCACCACTGCACCAGACCTCCAAAGCTAACAGGAGGAAGCAGCAGTGAGCCAATACTGGTAGATGGGAAGTAAAGAGGCAGCTCCCTCCCCGGTTTAAAGGGATGAGGTGTGGGGTAGTGCAGGGAGAGAAGATCAGCTGTTTTACTCTTCTTCTGGCTGAGATCAGAAAGATGATGGGATGACGCCTGGTGTGGCTGGTGTGGAAGTCTGGGTCACTAGCAGGTTTTGTGTTTAGTGATGTTGCTGTCTAACCATCCAAGCAACCCTCTGCATCCCTCCCAACCTGCTTGCACATATGCCTAGCACCTCCCAGGGCTGAGAAGTGACTACAGCAACCCAGTGCAGTGCCAAGGCTTGTTGTTGTGTTGAGCCGAGGACTAGGTAGAACCTGCCAGAGGATCTCGGGACCTCACTGCACAGTGCAGGATCTGCCCTGCAGCATGTACGCAGATGGTCAAGGGCTGGTTCCCAGCATTTCCAGCAAATTCTGGATATCAGCATTAAAGAAATCTGCCTTCTTGCTATGCTTTGAAGGCATTTTTATGCTTGGTTTGGTTTTATAAGCAGTACCTGGTTTCTTGTGTTTGTTTTTGCTGCGGGGTTTTTCATTTTGAAGAAGGGTTTTGCAGCTTTGACTCAGGTGGTGTCTGCATTTCAGCCAGAGAGATGGGTACCCATTGCCGAGCCCCACAGATGCTGGGGGCAGCTGGAGCACCCAGTGAGCCCTGCCTGGTCCCCACACAGCCCTGGTAAGGGAACTGCCACGCAGCAACCTGAAGCTTCATTAGAAAAATAATATTCTCTAATTGAGGGCTTGTGCTCCCGGTGCCACTAGCTGACCTTGCTGCTGGGAGCAGATGCCTTTGGAGAGCTGCTCTGCAAAGACACCTCAGGCCCTTCCCACTCCACAGCTGCCCACGGTGGGAGGTCCAACTTGCACTAAGGACTCTATTTTTGAGTTGAAATGCCCCAAAAGCTGGGACAGAGGCTGTGCTTAGCCTTAACTCTGTGTGGCTCAGCCATCATTCCTCCATCCCTCCTGCCTAGCATCCCCAGCTCTCTAGCAGGGATGGAGGCTAAGAGAGCAACAGGACTAGATTTGTGTCTGCTGCCCGGCACTGCTCGGGCCATATGGGTGCCTTGGCCGTATGCTGCCAGTGAAGGGTGGCCTTGGTGGTTGGAGGTGAACCCGGAGCTGAGCCGGTGGCCAGCTCTGTGCAGCCTGGGCCAGACCTGCTGCCTGCAACCCAAACCTGCTCCTCTCCCCACCGCCACCCTTCTCTGTCAGGGGGGGACGGTCTGGAGTGTTATGCCCACGGAAGGTGTCGCTGAGCACAGGCTCCCTTGTGCCTTGTGGCTTCCAGAAAAGCAGTGTCCCTTTTCCCCGCAGAGCCAACAAGCCTCCAGCTGGGCAATAACAGCTACACCACAGCTCTTGTGGCTTTGATATCCAGCCTAGAGAGGCATAAGGAGTTTGCAGACAAGTTGCCATGCAGAGGGACCTTGACAGGCTTGAGAGGTGGGCCCGTGCGAGCTTCATGAAGTTCAACAAGGCCAAGTGCAAGGTCCTGCACGTGGGTTGGGGCAATCCCAAGCACAAATACAGGCTGGGCAGAGCATGGATTGAGAACAGCCCTAAGGAGAAGAACCTGGGGGTGTTGGTTGATGAGAAGCTCAATGTGACCTGGCAATGTGCACTTGCAGCCCAGAAAGCCAGCTGTATCCTGGGCTGTATCAAAAGATGTGTGGCTAGCAGGTCGAGGGAGGTGATTCTGGCCTTCTACTCCGCTCTTGTGAGACCCCATCTGGGGTACCGTGTTCAGCTCTGGGGCCCCCACCATAAAAAGGACATGGACCTGTTGGAGCGAGTCCAGAGGAGGGCCACCAAGATGACTGAGGGGCTGGAGCACCTCCCCTATGAGGACAGGCTGAGAGAGCTGGGGTTGTTCAGCCTGGAGAAGAGAAGGCTCCAGGGAGACCTTCTAGCAGCCTTCCAGTACCCGAAGGGGGCCTACAAGAAAGGTGGAGAGGGACTTTTTAAAGGGCCTGTAGTGATAGGACAAGGGGTAATGGCTTTAAAGTGAAAGAGGGTAGGTTTAGATTAGATACAAGGAAGACATTCTTCACTCTGAGGGTGGTGAGGCACTGGAAGAGGTTGGGATGGGGCTTTGAGCAACCTGGTCTGGTGGAAGGTGTCCCTGCCCATGGCAGGAGGTTGGAACCAGATGATCTTTAAGGTCCCTTCCAGCCCCAACCATTCTACAATTCTGTGATAAGTTCAGAGGTACAAGAAGTCTGGCTATGCTATGAGCTGCAAAGCTCAGTTTTGTCCACTGAAATCTAGAAAGTGGGAAGAAATCAATCCCTTTCCTTGTCAACATTAATTTGAAGTGTTGGAGATTAATAATCAATTATTTGCATTAGGTCCTAAAAAATACTGGCTAAAACAGATTGCTCTGCCTCAGCACCTTCCTCAGCAGAGGTTGTATTCATCACTGTCTGCTACAGCCCTGCAGGAGTGGGGGACCCCAGAGCAAGGGGGGTCTGCACCCTCTGCAGCCCCTCAATTTGGCAGCTGGCTTGCCCAGCCTGGGCAGGGGGAACAGCTGCAAAATCAGCCTCCCCTCTCCCCAGAATCAGTTTTTGCATCACCCACTGCCACTCTAGGGTAAAACATCCCTGGTGCAAAAGCAAGGTGGCGATGGCCAGGAGAGGCAGTGGGCCAGGGTGAGTTAGAGCTGTCCCACAGCCGGGGCCATCCATTCCCATTGCAGGTTCGGTGGAGAGCCTGTCTCACACGACCTCGTCCCCGCAGCCGTCGCCGGCCGCCTCCACCCATGCCTCCCGCATCGCCGATCCCTCCTTCTCAGTCGACCACACTGCTGCTGATGCATCTGCTGCGGAGGAGACCCCCAGCGAGTCAGAGTCAGTCTTCCTCCCCGACTACCTCTTCCTCTCCAACTGCGAGTCAGGCAAGCTCAGCCACAACAGGTAGGTCTGGGCTCTGCCAGATGTGTTGGGCTGGAGCCACCCTCTGCCCAGTGATGCTCTGGGAAACTGGGGCAAACTGGTCCTTGAGCCCTGCCACTCACAGTAGGATCCCGAGCACAACAAGGGACCATCAGCCTAATCCAATTTACAGGGGGCTTTTCATAGCACAGATTAGTAGTTGACCGTTGTATGTTGGTCCTGTCCCTTTCCAGGGTGGGGGGCTGGGGACCTCACATATGGCCTCCCTCCAGACACCCTTTCTGCCTGCTGCTGCCCAGGGTGCTCCACAAAGTGCCCCTGCCCAGCTCAGGGGGGACCTTCCACACCCATAGGGAAGGGACAGATTTTTGTCCTGAACTGTGGGTTGGGTGTGTTGGTTGGTTGGTTGTTTGTTTTCTTTTTCTTATGTGCTTGCTCAGTTGCAACCAGGAGAAAAGGAAAGCGCAGGTCCTGACCTCTGTCTCTGTGCAGGTGTGACAGCTGGTCGAATTCGGACAGATCTCTGGAGCAAACCTCGTCGGACGATGTTTTTGTCGACTCCTTGCAGTCCCAGCCCTCCTTGTACCTTGTACAGCCATCCAGCACTGGCACTGTGCACCAGGATGGGGCCCTGGTGCCAAATCCCAGCACTGTGTCCAGGAACATAGACATTAGCGGGCCACCCAGTGACTTTTCCTCCTCTTCTCCACTGCTGGGGACTCCACTGACACCAACCTTTCAGATTGACTCTCCGGCCGAGCCCGTGCCCTACGGTGTAACCCAGCTGGACATCCTGTCCAACACACCCCCGCCACGGCCGCCCAAGCCAACCCACTTCTCAGAGAGGAGAGGGGATGAGGTGGGCAGCAGGGCCCTCCAGAACGGGCACGCAGGGATCTGCCGGGCTCAGGTTGCTCTGGTGCCCAGGAGGATCTCCTTGTCCAGCTTGGACAACGTGAGGAACTGGAAAGGTGAGTGCATTTCCAAGACCCAGTGAAGCAGGAACAGTGTGAGGGATGGAGCTGCCCACGAGTGCAGAGCTGGTGCCCACCTCCAGTGTGCTTCCCTGTCCTCCCCCCTGCAAAATCATCCACCACCCAAGGCAACCTGAAATGCTTCTTTCAAATTAGAGAGCAGGATTCAGACCTGTCCCTCACATTCAGCTCCTGCTCTGTAAAAGCCCCTCAGTGTGTACACATGGGAAGCAATTTGGCTGTGATCTCTTCAGGGTGCCTCATGACTTGCTAGTTTTCCATGCTGCCTCCCTCTCCAAAATAGAAAGCAGTAGAAAGACAAAAATGAAAAGCCAACCACTGAATCAGGCAATGCCAAACTCTCTCTTTATGCAGGTCAAAACGTGGGCTTGCACATGGGAAATGCCTTTGTAGCTGTGCTACTTCACTACATCTAGTCCTTTCCATAACAGCAGCGTCTCTTCTCGCAGCTTAGAGTAAAGAACAGGAAGTCAGGGAGACGCTGGGGATGGGATGTAATCTCAGTTGAACCGGGGACTCTGTGTGTCCTTGAGCAAATCCCACTCTGTCCTTGCGCTTCAGCAGGGGTAGCCTGAAAACTCACTGCAGAGCAAGGCTCTGCTGCAAAGCAAGTTCTGCTCTGAGCTGAGGTGATTTTTCCATTGGTTCTTGAAACACCATAATTTCAAACAAAAATAACAGTCAAAAACCCAGAACGTCAAGGTGTCAAAAAGCAGCATATGCAGTATGAGAAAGTTTTATTTTGTGGAGTCACAGAACAGAGGGAGGCAGCTGGAATACCAGGCTGAAAATCACCGAGTATTTTGCAGTGGTGCGTCGTTTTTGAGGAGGAAGAAAACATAGGGTTCTAAGGACAAGCATCCTTTAGACTCCTGTAGTTTGAATGACCAACTGGTGTTTGGGGCCGTTAGATCTTGCTCTTAAAGCTCAGAAGCTAAAGCACGGAGACCTCTGTCCAGCCTGTTTATCAGTGTACAAACAATTCTTGGAAGGTTTCTGGAGAAACACCCATCAGTGGAATTGGTATTCTTAATTATCAGTTACATTTGGTTGCTCCCTGAAAGGTGCTGCTCTTGTTTCTGCACATGTGCCGCTCTAACACCGCCAGCGCACTTGAGACAGTTAATGTTCCTCCAACCCAATTTATGCCAAAATGTTTTTAAGAGGATTAAGTGGCCAAATGTCATGTTTTACTACCGTGCTGCAAGGTTATCTCTGTCTGACAGGGGGCAGCAATGAATTAATAAGTGCTGCTATTTTTTCGTACCCTACGTGCAGCTGAAACTATTTGAAAGGTCAAACTCTGAATTAAAATGTGTTTAACAAAAAAGATTGGAAAAAGAAACAGGGAGAAAGCAGCTGTTCCTCACCAGCTCCCAGAGTGAGCCCACTCGAGTTACTTCATTTTTTGCCCTTGGCCCCCTGTAAAAGCTGAACAGATGTAATTAACCCAGTGCAAAGGCAGCACATGCTGGTTGCAGTGCCATGAAGGGGAAGGAGCTGTACACATGTAAGGCACCTGTATCCTGGCATCTGCCGGAGCATTGTGCCTGAATGTCTTATTGCCAAAATAATAAATAAACGTAGCTGTCCCAGGACAGTGACTGTGTCTATCTGAATATATATCTGCACTAACAGTATTGCTTTGTTCTTGTTTAGCACTTTTGCCTTTCATGCTGATACCACCACAAAGACCCCCCCCAGTTACAGTGCAGTACTGAGATCTCCACCATAAGAGCAGGGACTGGATTAACATGGTTGCAGGTTTTTAAGGCAGTCCCACAGAAAAGCCATTTTCTGCACAGAAAATCCTTTTCCAGAAAAGGATGGTACTTGTAAGCATCTCCCACTGCTGATCTTCTATGCACTGAATGCTGGATTTCAGGTCTTTTGCCTTTTACTTCAAAAATAAAATTGACCTCCAGCAAGACAAAGGCCAGCCTGCACAAGGGGACACTGTGACTGGTGACCTTTTCTCTGGCTGTTTGTTCCCCATCAGCTTGAGCCACTTGCACCACATCAGCATTTCTGGGTGACAAAGAGAAGAATTTCTCTCCTACCATTAAGTTCCCCCATGCACCCTCTGTACAATAACATGTACTTCCCTGGTACCTTACAAAAAAGGATCCTAAATGACTTTCCAACTAATAATGGATTAATATTCCCTATAGTCCCATTTCATATAATTTCACCAGTTTGACAGGTGGGAAAACAGAGCAGGACTAGAGCAGGAGCTGGGTTTAAATTATTGCTTGGTTGCTTGCTCTCCACACCATACCTGTCTTTCTCCCCAACTGCTTGTGTTATAGGAAGCATAAGTTACAGCTGGATTATACCTGAACATGTTCCTTGGTTTCATCATACTTAAAATAGATGTAATCGCTCTTGAAATGCTACTGAGCTGGTTCTGGTCTTAAGTGTCATTGGATTTCCTCATTTAGCATAAATACTAGGAGTTATGGAATCTTTGTAAAGCTCTAATTATTTTAGAGCCATATGCTTTACTCCAGAATTATCTCTGTAAAGTTGGACTGCCTTATCACATTTTTAATCACTTGCTTTTCCTTGCAGCAGACATGGAAGGCAGTTCCTTAAGAAGTCGGGATAAGAGGCTTAGCCTGAATTTGGTAAGTACTCTGCTTGCATAAATTTAAAACACTGGCACATGACAAACTTCAGAAAGTGAATCATTTCACATCATGATATTCAATCATTCCTCTCCTGTGTTCAGCAGAAGAATAAAAAAATGGAAGAAGCACTTGGCTTTGGGCAACTTCTGTGCCGCATCTTCACAGCTGCAGGAAGCCTTTGAGAGAGGAGGGAGGGGGAAGCCACAACACTGAGCACCCTGCTTTTAAAGCAGGTGAAGCCAGGTCTGTTGTGAAAAAGGATACCAGTAGCCTCGAGAATTAAACTGTTGATGAAGAGCACCTGAGAAAACTGGTTATCTCTTCGAAAAAGGGTCTAAAGAAGCCTATCACTTCATGATCCTGAGGGATATCTCTTCTTCGAGACACAGGAAAGTCTCTTCTCTCAAAGCGCCTGTGATTCAGAGCTCTGTCAGTCTAAAGCTTCCTGACTCAGCCTTTGACAGGCATGGTTATATGTAGCACCATCACACATCGCGTAGCCAGTCTTCTGCCTGGTGCTGGACACAGTCTTCTGCGTGGGAGATCCTTTGCTGCTTATATTTAAGTTCTGGTGGTGGGCAACTTACATTTTTCTCCCCTTTGAATGCTTGCAAGGTTTTTAATTAATCCTTCTCACCACTCAGCCAGCTCTAACCTGCATGAAATGGATTTCTAGTGTTTATTCTCAGCTATCAGAAGTGACTTGTATGTCTGTGTGTCTGCTCTCTCAGCTTCCGCATTTGCAAAAATCTAGTTCATCAGATGTTCTCCTTTCAGATTTTTTTTTTTTGTATGAAGGAACCTCTTTCATTTTATAGGTCAGGATTACTGCTGGGAGATTCAAGTGCAGCCTCACTGAAGTTGGAGGATTTAACCTACTTAAGTGACAAATAAGTTTAGTCCTCATTTCCAGCAGTGACTTGTGAAGCTCAGAAGTGGACTTCTCCGAAGCTGGAGTGTACATCTGAACTCATGAGTTTGTCTCGTGTCTTTCCAGCTTGCGTTTCTCAGAAAGGTCACGTCAGGACTCTCCTGGCCTGGGGCTCGGCTCAGATCTCTTGCCAGCTGACAGCACCTCCTGGCTTGCAGGGGGTTAGCTATTCATTTATTGACCCATTTCTCTTTGTTTTTCTCTTTTGCTTCTGAAGCCCTGTCGGTTCTCCCCTCTCTACTCGACTGCTTCGGACAGCACGGAGGACAGCTACGTGCCCATGCGCCCCAGCACCTCTCCCTCTGCGCCCAGCTCCGACTGTTCACCCGACGGCTACATCCCCATGAGCCCTGGCTCAGCCACGTTTACCTTCCCTGTCGTCAGCACTGAAAAACTCACCAGCCCGTTACCTGAGCTTCCCTCAGACCTGGAGCCGCCTCCAGTGAACCGAGACCTCAAGCCTCGTAGGAAATGTAAGCCCAGACCTAAAATGCAATTGGCAGCCAGAGGGTCCTGATAGCGGGGACAGGGGTGACCTCCTTTGATAGTGTCCTTGGCACATTTTAAAAGGCTTCCTACTCTAGAAGAGGGACTGAATTGCTGTATAAGTGGCTTATAGTACTGTAACACAGGATGCGTCCGCAGGGTCATTTGCAAGCAGAGGAAGAGCATCCATGCCTACTTTTGCAGTTGGAGACCAGGTGGCTGCATTAGCGTGGTGCATGGCTTCAGATCCACTCTGCAAATCACCAAATGGATGTAGCCTTGGAGAGACAGCAGACTAAATCCTGCAGCTCTAAAGTACATGTACTGCTGTCTCACCAGCTCCCTGACCTTCCAGGAACAGGACATCCAAACACTCAAATACTCAAACTTGATGTGTGGGCTGTTGGTTAAACCTCTGTTGGGTAGGCGCAGCTGTCTTGGTTTAATTAGGAATTTCCTGCAGATGCTTTTAGTGATGGTAATTTTCCACTCCTGCTTTTCATGGCATCTCCAAAATCTGGGTTGCACTTCCAGAGGATGTACTGGGGACAGAATTCAGCTTTGCAGTGGAGAAATTGCCTAAGCCTAGCCTACATTAAAGTTCTTTGGGCTGCAGAGCCACAGGGCTACTCAGAAATTGGTTCAGGAAATGCTACTGTGAAGTGGGGACAGAAATTTAGACTGTTTCCAGGAAGCAAAGCAAGCTCAGTTCCTTTCTTAGAGGGTTTTGAGAACGGGGTGGAGAACGTACATGGACTGGTGAGAGCAGCGATCTTGATCTCCACGTGTAGGACCTTTTTGTTTAGAAGAGAGCCCAAAACCTGTTTTGACCTATAGGTTGAACTGTCCTCTCCTCTTGAAAGCAGCATATGCAGAGCAGATTTGAGGCGAGCACACGGAATCTTGTGGCGTATTTGCTCTCCTTATACCCATTGTATTTATTCTGTTATTTTAGAGGGACTTTGCTTTCCAGCACTGACTGAAGTGGTCATTTGTTACTGATTTCTCTTTTGGTTATATCACTTATGTTCCGTGAAATACTCTTGTTACTTTCTTGCTGTTAACATAAAACTGTGTTTTTTCTAAACAGTCTGTACTTTTCATTAGCTCTGCTATTGGAAATGTAGTTCCTTTTGTGTCTGCTTGCAGCACGGCCACCTCCTCTGGACTTGAGGAACCTCTCCACAATCCGGGAGCATGCTGCCGTGACCAGGATGTGGACTGTGCCTTAGTAAGTCAACAAGAAACCTGCTGTTCCAATCTTTTAAGCATCAACATTGTGGAATGGAGTTAAAAATAACTTATCGCGTCCCACAAGAAACAGTTTCCTGGCAAAGTCCACAGACAAAAATTCCCCAGGGCTCCTTCCAGCATCCCTCAGGCTTTTGCTGTCTCTAAAAAGCAAGGCTCCCTTTCATGATGGGCAGCTCCAGTGCGTTCAGCATCACGCAGTGATGCTCAGTCTGTTTTGAAGGTTCCTTTTGAAAAGGCTGGAGCTGGTGTGCACTCTGGTGTGGCTGCTGCAACGGCTAAAAGCTTCACATGCCTTAATTATTTTTTTTCAAAGTGATGGAGCCATTTTTGTTCCTGAAAATTAATATAGCAAAGGAGAACCAGGTAAGATAGAGATCTGTCTGAATTGTAGCCTGGGTGTAGACTTCTGCACTGCCACGCAGCAATTCAGACTTGATCTCTTGGTGTGACCTTTTGTCCCTGGAAATGAGTTGTGGGGTAAAACAAATGCTTTTGGTCCCGAAGCAAACTGAACAGATGATACGGTTGGGCTCCGGCTCCAAGGGCAGTGAAAGACTCATCTTCAGGGAACTCGTGAGCAGGGGAGGACTGCAGCCTGCTGGCTGAGGGGATCTCGGCACTACGGGGAAAGGCTGACAGGAGAGCCAGCTGTGCTGAAGCGTGCATGCAAAAGCCAGGCATTCCCACCAACCTCCTCTGCATATCCCAGGCACTCCAGAAAATGTGTTTTTTCACTAGCATGAGTGCCAGACAGGACATTTCCACTCCCCCGCCTCAGGTAGTCATTTGGAGGGCAAAAGGGACAGGAGATGGGCAACTTCTCAATTGCAGACCCCTCTCAGCTGCACAGCCTAAAGCCGGTTAAGCCCTGCGGCACTGCCTGCCACGTGCTGCCTGTTAGGGAAACCCCAGTAGCCTGCCTCCCAAGCATCCCTGCCAGAGCGCTGTGGTTAATTAGTGCTGACACAGTGCAGAGTCCTGAAGGATAACGAGCTCAGAGGGAGTTTGCATGTTTTACATTAGCAAAACTAAAAAAGAAATATGCCCGGAACTAATAAAGCAAAAGGAATTATACTGTTCATGCTGCACAAAGTGGCCATCCAATTTCCTAATAACTAACCCCATTGTGCCGGCCTGCAATAGTTTACTCACGATATACCTCTGACGATTATGCTAGTGGTAGAGGTTTTCTTGCACAAGGGCTGAGTCGCAGCCACCTCTGTAGCACCGATAGCATGTGTTTACACTGCGTTCAAAGCCAGACAAGTTCCTCTGCATGCACCTCCAGCAGCTGATTAATTCACAGCAATCTCCAAAATGTGGATACCCGCACAATTAAGCAACTGCTTCATCAGCACGTATTACCTGGATGAATGATATCTGTCTCTGTGCCCCTTGTTGGAGAATTGCTGCAATGGTTTATGCTTTCTGTCATACCAGAGATGGCAAACTTTCATAAATCTCAGAAAAAAAAAAATTAACAAAAACATTCAGCGATATAGCACACTTTTTCTAGAACTAAGGAGTGGTTTTGGACATCCTCTCCATAAAGGCTGCAGCGTTAGTGTGAGTTTATTCACCATATGGACTGTGTCAGGCTTTGGCTTCATTTCAGAGCATCTGTAAGATGCTTCCTTAACCTCTCCTGTGTTTTTCTTCATAGCAATCGAATGAGCTTTATCTCACCAGAAAGAGACGGTATTAATTCAGCAAGAATATTTGCCAATTCAGTTTCCGGAGAAGAGGAAGAAAGTTACATTCATATGGTAATCTTCATTTTCACACAGCCATCCTTTGCTTTATTCTGCTCTGTCACATTGATGGAGAATGCAGAAGTTTGTTTTCTAAGAAAAAATGTTGAGGAGGTTGGTCCTTTGCCTTCTGTTTTTTAAAAAAATGATGAAACGGTTTTAAACCAAAGACACTGGGACCAATTTACAGAGAGATAAGGGAAGCCCTTCTTCTGCTCTGCAGAACTCAGCTGTTCGCCCACGAATGTTGCTGAGCAGTTCCAAGAGATCACAGGGATCAGCCATATTTACATGAGAACTCATTAAGGCAAAGGAAAATTAAATCTTTTCACCTTTTAAAAGTGTGCCCTGCAAAATCTCCTAGGAAATGACAGAAAGACGTTAGTGCACTTCCTAAAGAAACACACCAAATATTGTGCAGAAACAGAACTCCCATTAAAGTCTCTTATTGCTTCTGCTTTGGCTGGTGGCACTAACCCCACTTCCCATCCCATGAAAGAAGAACATCTGGCTTTGTGGCTTCCTTTTCTTCATTCACTCTTTAGCCATATCTTGCAAAAGAACAAAGATCAAAATCTCAGTTTCTTTTGAATTTTAGGTAGAAATAGATCTCAAATCCCTTGATCTGAGCCAATGTCTACAGATTTGGCTCCATAGCCAAAGCCCAATGGCAATGGCTATAGAAATATATTGCAAAGCTGACCACAATCTCCATGAACCACAGTCTCAAATTTTAATCCACACCTCTGCTAGATCAAAATCTGCACAGGAGAGCAGTTCTAGTTGTAACTACTCCCCATTTGATTTTTCTAGTCAAATAAAGCCTTCCATACATCTGTGGTCATCTGTGATTTTTGTGAGATTAATTTTCAGTTGCTAGATTTGAACAGAATTACCACCATGTCTTCAAACTCATATAACGATGATGGTTAAGAGGGCACCCCTGCAAATCTGAGCCTTCCAAGGGCTTGGGTTGAGAAGCTGGGCACAGGTCCTTCCTGATACCATTGAATGAAAATCAGCCCAGTTTGCTGTTTTGCCATAATTACTGGGAGGAAAAGGCTGTCACAGTTTCTTTATGCCATCCTGCAATTAATCAGTGTTATAGAATCATAGAATCATTTAGGTTGGAAAAGACCTTTAAGATCATCAAATCCAACCGTTAACCTAGCACTGCCAAGTCCACCAGTAATCCACCACTTATCTTGTGGTTAGTCACCAAACACACACTTGCCATAGAAAACTACATGGGTGCTGACCTTCCTCACTCGCTTTCTGCCAGACGAGTCTCCCATCTCACAGTTGTAGTCCTGCTTCCTTCTGGGATCATGTTTTAAGAGCATTAAAAGTTTCTCTTCTTTCCTGACAGGAACACAGACAGGCAACATCTCCATACAGTGGTGCTTTCCCATGGACAAGGAAATCTAACCTTGATTACTTAGCATTGGATTTTAATTCTGCTTCCCCATCCCCTGTACAGAAGGTACGAGTCATTTGATAAACCCCACAGCCTCCTATCTTCTTTTCTGCTGGGAGGAAAACAAGACAGAGAGTCGGACTCTGCTAGGTGCCCTAAGTATCATGATGAAGCCAGTCATGTTTCCAGCTGACTGCATTTGTGGCAGGCTCAAGATTAATATAATAAAAGCACTATTAAGGTGATGACAAGGTGTCCTTAGCGTGACTCATAAGGATGCCATTAACACGAGCTCGGCAGAGGGCACGAGACTGCGTTGGGACGTGCAGCCATGAGGGCTTGTGGGCAAGCTCGTTGGTGCTTGCAGGATCTCTGCATGCTCTTTCATTTTCATCAAGTCTCCACAAATCCTTTCCTGCTAGTTTTCCCCCAAATCTCTTTGCAGTAACAAGTTTACAGCCCATGATAAATTCACAGGTTAAGACTGTACCATCTTTTGTAACATGGCAAAATGTGCATCTTTATTCTTGCATCACCAAAAGCATTTCAATTTCCTTAGCCATACTGAGAAAATACATTCCTTGTTCCAAAGAGCTTATAACCTGCCCAGGTGGTGGGTAGGTACAATTGCAATGCAACAAATTGTCGGTTTGGGCCATTTTATGTCCTGTGTATCATTTTCCCCATCATCTAATAGTCCTGGATGCAAAAGACTTAAGACTCCTAAGCTTTCTTAAATTTAAACTCTCCCTTTAGCAGTTAGGTTATCCCTGCAGCAGGATCGCTTGGATGAGAAGAGAATTATTATCTGCATGGAAATAGCCAGAACAGCACGTTTCTCTCGCTCACTGTGCTGGGCTGAGTGACAGGGTGACAGATGGATAATTATAGCTAAAGCAGGCTGTAAAGCAATACTTTTGTCAGCTGATGTCACTGTGAGCTTCAAGGTGAAGTGAAGCAATCAAGGAACAAGGGAAAAGGAAAACAGAAAACCAAGCCAAGTTTCACTAGCATCCCTTTTCAACCCTAAAATTAATATGTTGGTTTTTTCCTCTCTCCCACAGAAACCTTTTCTCTCTGAGGAGCAGAGAGTGGACTATGTCCAGGTAGATGAACAGAAGACTCAAGCTTTACAGAACACTAAGCAGGAATGGACAGATGAGAGGCAATCGAAAGTCTAAAGGAAGAAGATTTGGCATCTGGAGGATGTTTTTTTGCACTGGAACCACAATGTTGATGAAGCAGCTATCACAGTAGAGTTCAAAGGCAGAGAGAGTTGTAAGATGCTTACGGAATGGCATTTTTAATAGAAACCTTTGATTTCAGCTGGCAATAGTATGTCGAATGAGTGAGTGGTTCACTGATGATTAAAGTAATGCATTACCCTTTTTACTGCCCTTACCAGTAAGCTACATGGTACCATTTTCTGGCATGATTCTGCAACGAGTCATACACTTAATGTTAACAAATCCACTACATGTTGCATTAATCTAGTTAGTCCTGCCTTTTCCCTCTGTTGCATAATTCCCAGTTGCTAAAGCTATTTTTTGATATTCCTACAAGTACTGCGGGTGCTCAGAGTGCTTTTATGGCAGCGGGCATCTGACAGGTATTGGTGACTAATCAACTAAGGGCTAAAATACTGAAACAATAAAAAGAACTTTTTGAATATATAGTGCTTAAGCAAAGAGAATTTTGGAAAATATTTTTCCCCTGTGTTTAAAACGTCTGAACTGATGCTGTCAGAAACTCAAAACAGGACTATGTACCAATGGGACTGGGACGCATGCTCTTTGACCCTCTGGATGACGGCCATCATATTAAGTTTCTTCTCTCCATTGTGGCTGATACTTGTCGTCTTTCTGTCTGATTCCTACTGCTGTTGTCTCCCCTATCTTGAGGAGTGTCTTCGGCACAGCACAGTACAGCTGCTCCTCTAGCAGGAGGCTGCAGGCACACAGCTCTTGGCTGGCCAAAAAATAGAAAGGGAAGCTGTGAGCCTGTTTCTGCAAGTCTTGGGAGAACTGGCAAAGGATCAAGAATGCTTTCATCTGAACTGCAGAAGAAATGCTGTTGGAATTGCTGGTAGCAGTCATCAAACTGATTGTTTCACTAGACCCACCCACAAAAAAAAAGAGAATTAGGAAGTGCAGCGTGCTCTGAGAGAGGCTAGCAGGCCTGCCAAAATAAAACAACAATGCACTTACGCGGCATGAGGACCTCTGGGTTCAGGAAGCTTATCTACCTTGGGACTTGTTACAGGCACTATCTCAGGATCACATATGTGTATAGTTTATAACATATTTAACTTTAAAAGCTTGGCTGCAATCTTTATTTTAAGGTGGCACACAGCCACTTGAATCATGGAAGTATGCAGTACCGCTGAGTGTCCCACACTGGATTTGATCTTGCAGGCTTTGCTTGTGCAGGTAAGTCCCACTAGCCGTAAGAGGTCTGATCCTGCCAGCAAGGACAGACAGCCCAGGACCCTTACGAAAGATTTCCTTTGACAGTGCCAAGTTGCTGGCCTCCCTTCACGTGCCTGTTGCTACCACGTTGTATTACTGTAATCTGACATCCCAAAAATGCTGATTTACCAAACGGAGGTTGTAGAAATGTCATTGCAGAAACCACTGGCATTTCAAGGCTCCTACTTACTGTCCTCCATGCACCAATTCTGCTTCAGCCATTTGGGCACTCTGGGAGGCTGAGAGACACGGCAGTCGCACGTCCCGCTGGGAGAGGCAGCGTAGCTAACAGAAACAACATTTTTCTCCTACCTCAAGAGAGCTGAAGTGCTTGCAAGTCTCGCTGCTTCTTTAGAGCAAATACAAAGCTGGGGATCCGTGGTGACCAGGCTCTTGCTAACTTACCCTGCAAGAACAATGAGCCTCACCAGCGCCTTTACTGACTCTGGGGCAAACCGGGCACCCAGGCCTGCGGGCATAAAGTGTCCTGGACTAGAGCTGCTTGGAAAACCGGGGTTGATACTGCAGATAGCTGACCTACTGTTTCCTCCTACTCTGCTCCTCCCCCCTGCAAAGCTCTGAAATGAAAGTTAATGTTCCTAAAAGTTTTGAAAAGAATTCAGATTTTTCCGTATAAATCTTGTCTGTCTGGTGTGAAATTTAGTTTGTTAAAACCCAGTTGTTTTGTCCTAAAGCTGATTTAGAAGAGCTCTCAGCAACCGTGCCCTGGGTGTGGTATTGCAACAAGGGAAGTGGGTTTGGGGAGAGGCGGCGGAGAGCTGCGCCGCCACAGCGGTGGCAGAGAGAGGTAAGCAAGGAAGGGCCGCAGTCACAGAGACGTTTGCCTTTCCGCTCAAAAGAATTGCCTTTCTTTCAAGGTGTACAAATAATACATGTCACTGAAAGCTTTTTTCAGTACTGAGAGAGTTAAAGGACCAGCTAAGACGTGTATGACAGTAGGGGACGGAAAACATCCACAAAGGGCAGGTAAAATTATGCTATGCTACTGCAGATCCCAAATTGCAGAGTGATGGCATGGCAGCCTCCAATGCAGATTGCAATAGCATACAAATCAGCTCATGTTTGACTGGAGTGTTTCTTTTCATGCTGTCAGAAAAATCTTCTGAAGTGGAAAAACACCAAGTTACTGGAGACAACTGACTCGCTTGTTATTCTAGTTCTTTGTAAAAATATTTAAACTTTGACAAACCTGGCTAATGGATCATTCAGAAGTTTAGAAAAGAAAGAGTTCTTTTGGATTTTTTTTTCTCCCTAAGAGGACATAAACATATAGCTTGGCAGGGACTGTCCTTAGATCAGAATGATGCCCTTTCAACTTCTGCATGTCCCCTGCTTGCCCCCACTGCTCTCTTATCTTGATCAAACGCTGCTCACTGGTTTCTAGCTTTCAGTTTGTAACTAAAAGCTAAGTTTGGGGGTTTATTCAGGTTTTTCATTTAAGGTCTGTTTTTACCTGCTGCTCCAGGGTCCGTGACATGCATTCTTGCACAAGCACAACACATGAAACAGGAGCAATTAAAAACACACACAAAAAAAAAGTTTTAAAAGCAGAGCAGTCCTCCCCCAAGGCTTTTTTTGTTTTGTTTTGTTTTAGTCAAATTCCACAATACTCCAAAGAGGGGGAAGAGGGGGAAGATGGTGGGAGGATGGCAAAGGCCAAATCTGCTGCGGCCACCCCATCATTAAGGATTTTGGTGTGAACAGAGCCACAGCAGCCCCCTGCTGTGGTACGCGATGGACATACCTATGGGCTGCCCCGCTGCCAGCCGCAGCAGCCCAGGGCCGGCGCCCGGAGAGCCTACTGGTGGGTGAGGAGGGATGCTACGGAGCAAAAAGGAGTCACTGTTTAATCAGGTCTGTTCTTAACTACTGATCCCGTGGCCAAAGAGGAAGGAAAACCTGTGAAAGCACCTGAAAACTGAGTCAGCTTTTGACAGCGTCATGTCTGAAAATGTAGCCCAGGCAAGAGCCTGTGGTTAGCGCTGGCTTCGGGGTCAGGCAGGCACACTCCTGGTAGCATCTTCTTTTTACTGTGGGTCTGTTATGTTGTTATTTGTATGTATTTCTTTAAAAAGTATCGCAAGAGCTGATGCAGAGAGAGGCTCTGCACCTGAATGAGCATGGGGTGGCCAGTGGTCTCTTAGGAAACTCTTGTCTCCTGGGGGAGCTGGCGTTGCCCGGCTCAGGACTTGTAGTGCCTTCTCCAGCACGGCTGGCATTTCTCATTTAAAATGGAGAGGAGCGCTAAACGAGCAGAATAGTTTCTGCTTAATTGGAAATGTTGCTCTGTGGAGTTGCCAGGTGAAGCTCGGTTGCAGGACAATGCAGAAAACAAACCAGCGCAATGGTTTTGTTCCTGTGGTTATTGTTAGGGCAATCAGCTGGATTCCCCCCACGGCTGGCACGGCCGGTGAGTGTGCCGACGTGCCAGCACCCAGGCATGGGAGAGAGGAGATCAGAGACAAGATGGATCTCTTTTACTGGAATGGTCTGTGGCCGCGGAATACAGAAATAGCCTGCGTCAAACACCTGCTTGAAATACATCCTAATATGGCCTTACTCTGCAGTCTTTCGATGATCACCCACTTCAGCAAGGCGTAGCAGGATCCAAGACTCATTTGCTTTTTGGACTAAACTGTATTTTCCTTTTATAATTCCTTTATTACAAGAGGCAGCATTAAATTCCTTACTGGCAGATAGGAACACTTTACCTGAGAAATGTCAACAGCCATCTAACTCGAGCCCGGTGTTTTCAACCAGCTCACTTTTGCCAACGGTAGCGCCCGCTCTCTTCTGTGTCGCGAATTACACCACAGATCTAGATTTTGGAGTTGCATTCACTTGAAGTGATTCAGTGGTTTAGTAATTCAAAGACCATCAGATGCTGTGATGAGAACGAAGCACAGGGCAATGCCTTTCCTTTGTTCCCCTGTTCCGCAAAACTTGCTCAGGTTTTAAAAAAAAAAAAAAAAAAGCCACCAAAATAGCAGACTTTTGCCATGTCAAAGCCAGAATATTTTTTGTTCAAATAAAAATAAACTTTTGTCTTGTGCAAATGAAGCATTATACATTTTTTGTATTTGTAAATCTGTAGGGAAGCGTTAAACAGTCATCTCTGTTATGAAGGAGTCATTGATAGAGGGAAGGTACCTTCCCTCATTGACAGAGGGACGATACCTTCCTGATGTTTCATCGTAATGTGTTGTATATATTTGCACATTAAACTATATATCTCTTTTCTAATAAATTAATATAAAACGTAGCTGTGATCTTTAATTATTTTGATAAGCGAAGGTGCTCATGGGGAAAACGTCCACATTTTTCATTTAATGCTTTTTCCATTTTTTAAATCTTTTATTAGACTGTGACTTGTTTGCATAAATTATTTGGATGCAAATTCAAACAAATTTGCAAATTAATTTCATACACCTATATATCAGGAAGATTATTCGCAGGTGACTTGAGAAACAGAGAACGATGAAGTTGCAACCTGGGCTCGTGTCTGCGTCCTCCTGGGGCCCGGGAGAGCCGCAGCCCCCCAGCTCCTGCCCCCGCCGTAGCCGAGGGGCAGGAAGGGGCCGCGCTTGCTGCCCGAAGATGTAGACCATGAGCACAGATTTGTTCAGCATATGCTCTGGGCTTGGATACACAGAAGAGTTGTTATTTAACCTGATCCTTTAATTGCGCTGTGC